CCCTGGTGGTGTTGTTCACCCCTGGTGGTGTCTGTATCACAACCACTAGACACTCAAATTCAAATTCAAACACTGTAGGAGCAGCAAATGTCGCCCGGAACGGGAGGACAAAAACAAGAGGTGATTAGGTTACACCCCGTCTTGGTCCTTAGTATGTCCCAGTGTGTCCCACCCTCACGCCTCCCACGGTGTGTCCCACACTCACGCCTCCCACAGTGTGGTGTCCCACCCTCACGCCTCCCACACTGTGTCCCACCCTCAGGCCTCCCACAGTGTGGTGTCCCACCCTCACGCCTCCCACAGTGTGTGTCCCACCCTCACGCCTCCCACACTGTGTCCCACCCTCAGGCCTCCCACAGTGTGTGTCCCACCCTCACGCCTCCCACGGTGTGTGTCCCACCCTCACGCCTCCCACAGTGTGTCCCACCCTCACGCCTCCCACACTGTGTCCCACCCTCACGCCTCCCACAGTGTGTGTCCCACCCTCACGCCTCCCACACTGTGTCCCACCCTCACGCCTCCCACAGTGTGTGTCCCACCCTCACGCCTCCCACAGTGTGTGTCCCACCCTCACGCCTTTAACAGTGTGTGTCCCACCCTCACGCCTCCCACACTGTGTCCCACCCTCACGCCTCCCACACTGTGTCCCACCCTCACGCCTCCCACAGTGTGTGTCCCACCCTCACGCCTCCCACAGTGTGTGTCCCACCCTCACGCCTCCCACAGTGTGTGTTTACTAGTTGTGTTTTTACGGGGGTTGAGCTTTGCTCTTTCGGCCCGCCTCTCAACTGTCAATCAACTGTTTACTAACTACTTTTTTTTTTTTTCTCCACACCACACACACACACCCCAGGAAGCAGCCCGTGACAGCTGACTAACTCCCAGGTACCTATTTACTGCTAGGTAACAGGGGCATTCAGGGTGAAAGAAACTTTGCCCATTTGTTTCTGCCTCGTGCGGGAATCGAACCCGCGCCACAGAATTACGAGTCCTGCGCGCTATCCACCAGGCTACGAGGCCCCCGAGGCCTACGAGGTGTGTCCCACCCTCACGCCTCCCACAGTGTGTGTCCCACTCTCACGCCTCCCACGGTGTGTCCCACCCTCACGCCTCCCACGGTGTGGTGTCCATCATGTCTTGTGCAGCCTTTCCTTTGAGCTCAGTTTCCCTTGGTATATCCTTTAGGAATTTTCTTATCTCCTCGTAGTTTCTCTTTCGGAACGGAAGTGTTTAATTTCAGATCCCTTCCGTGAGTAAGTTATTCCTAGTTCTACCAGATGCTCAAACATCAGTACACCGTCATCACTCATTCCACTCCGATTTTGACGTTGAATTCCCTTGTCTGAATTCTTCAAAGTGAATACCGGGCAAGTCTACCTGATTCGTGACTGCCTCCTGTGGGTCCCCTGACTTGCTGGCTTAAACAATTTATTGTTGCCATGCCCAATAGTTTACCTCTCCATGTTTCTGTACTGTGTGTTTCTTTGTTCTCCCAGTCTATCCTTCCATGGTTGAAATCCCCCCATGAAAAGATGGGATCAATTTCCACAGGTGACAGAAGCTGTCCTTTCAATTATAGTAGTAAATGCCATGTTTTTTCTGTTATACTCTTACCTGGGTTTTCTGGCATTTAGTGGAGGGTAATACTGTATATCACTACTGTAGGTCCTCACGCCGTCATGGTGTCTCTTGTGTAGTCTCTGAACCCCTCGCACTCAAGGATAAGTATCTCCTCGAAACTCCAGCCCGTTCTCATCAATAGAGGGAGTTCTCCCCTCCTCTTCCTTCTCGCTCTTTCCTCATTACAGTGTAGCCCTGGGGAAACACTGAATTTATGATACCTGACAGTTTTGTTTCAGTGAGTGCTATTAAATCCGGGTTGTCCTCTTGTGGAGTGGATGGTGTGTGGGGAGGGTACATATAGATACTTGGGAGTAAATGATGAGTTAGGCAGGGACACGCTGACAACCATCCCACATGCCCCCATCCCACGCCCCCATCCCACGCCCCCCATCCCACGCCCCCATCCCACGCCCCCCATCCCACGCCCCCATCTCACGCCCCCATCCCACGCCCCCCATCCCACGCCCCCATCTCACGCCCCCCATCTCACGCCCCCATCTCACGCCCCCCATCTCACGCCACCGTCACATCCCCATTCCCCCCCCCCTCCCATCGAGGGCGCACATATATACAGGAGAGATGTGTCACCCTTGGAACATGCCCAATATAATAATATTCAAGAAAGCGGGATTTCCAGCGCTCATTCTGACTCTCCGTGTCTCATATACACCCAAAAAGGAGGCCCTGAACGAGGACCGGACCGCGGGGAGGCTAAGCCCCGAAATCATCTCAAGATAGCCTCAAGATAAGATAACCCTGACTCTCCGTGACTCACTCCGACCCCTGACTGTGCGCGAGTCAACCAAACCAACCTCGTCTGTCTGACTCACTCACACTATCGGTGAGGCACACCTGCACTAGGGGCCAAACCTGCACCAGGGGGCCACACCTGCACCAGGGGCCACACCTGCACCAGGGGCCACACCTGCACCAGGGGCCACACCTGCACCAGGGGCCACACCTGCATCAGGGGCCACACCTGCATCAGGGGCCACACCTGCACCAGGGGCCACACCTGCACCAGGGGCCACACCTGCATCAGGGGCCACACCTGCATCAGGGGCCACACCTGCATCAGGGGCCACACCTGCATCAGGGACTAGTGTTGCCTAGAGACTGTCAGAGGTGGACGGAACCGTGACTTTGGTGTAGTCAACTTTGGTGTTGTCAACATTGGTGTTGTCAACTTTGTCAAACACTTGGGAAGTATTTGACAGAGTTGTATATGAAGTACGTGAAGAAACAGAGAGAGAAGAGTAGCTGTGTAAACTGTAGAACAGACTAGTCCCCAGCACCAAGATGCAGAGAGGATTTGCAGATCAGATTTGCCGGAGCTCAACACCCTGTCAAGACGCCAGTTGCCGCCACCCTAAATAAACAACTTCTTGGTTATCCAATTTCTGTTTATTTTTCCCACTCCGCTGGTGTTTATTTGGCTGTCGCACTTGTAAACGGGTGTTTAGCCTACTGTGAATAATCAGAGTGAGGGTGAGGTTAGGCCGGCTCCCCCACACCCCTTCCTGACGTGAGCCCCTGGAGGTGATGAGAGCTGACACCTCCTCCTGACCTGACCCGGGACTCGGGACCATGATGGTGTGAACGGACTGCACTAGGGGTCAGCCTACAGTGACCATGACAACAGCGTTACATTCTAGATGCACGTATAGCGTTTCCGGCAGGTCCTGAATCCTAATTTTCCCCGGAATACGACCCGCCAAATGGTTTAAAAACCATGTACTCATTCACTGCTGGGTGAAAAGAGGCTGCAGGTAATGATTGGCACCCAGTCAATCCTCCCCAATCAGGATACGAACAAATCGCCGGCGAAGCGAGGGGCTAGTGTTACCACTGCGCCACACGGACTGCTCTCAGCTAAAAGGATTACAAGAGCTATCATTACAAATTTGATCTATTAAATTTCCTGCTTTACTTTCTTCAACGTCCGAATGTCTCACGTCCTGCGGCAAATAGTTGGACTTCGACATCAATAGTTGGACATCACGGTAATCTTGATGTTGTCATTTTGGCTGTTATGGAGAAGACAAGTTGACCAGGCGGGCAGGGTTCACTTTTTTTTATTTTTTTTATTAACACATTTAGGTACATGTGCATTTGTGCAGCTACCCTAGACTATATGAAGGGGAATACAGTGTCAAAAAGCTATCTACGTGTAGCTAAAAAAAAAACATCACACAGGATGGTTAGTCATACAGAGGCATGTAATAATTAAGTAGTCTTCACTGGCAGACTCTGGGTGCATTATGTTCACAGACGTGACTCAGGCAGAAAACTCTAATGGGAGAAAACTCCCGGTAAAGAAACTCTAATGATTATTGAAGGGTATATTTTCTACAACGTTTCGTTCCATCTTCAGGTAAGGAATAAATGTACAAAATGCCAATTTATATTAAATACACATGTAAACAAGGTGAAGTTTTCTGGAGGGTAAGGTGAAGTAATCAGACGTAGGTGAAGTAATGGGGAAATAATGGGGGTGGATGACAATCAAACACTGGGTAAGGCGGTGGGTTGGAAGAATTCGGTCTAGAGATGTCGTTATCCGGTGCTGTATTGAGGTCTGGGTCTCAGCGTAGGCAAGGTGAGGTCTAAGTCTAAGTGTAGGCAAGATGAGGTTTGGGTCTCAGCGTAGGTAACGTGAGGTCTGGGTCTCAGCGTAGGCAAGGTGAGGTCTGGGTCTGAGTGTAGGCAAGGTATCGAAGTCGTTACTCTGTATATTTAGAGTAGGTCTTTTTTCTTTTATGAGTACAGCTTTCAGTATTTGCAGTCTTCTCTGGTCAGTGGAGGATGGCAGGAACATTGTATTATTTACTAGCATGTTCCTAGTAAGAGTTGTGTCATGTACACCTTCCATAAGGTGTCTAGGGCCACCATCTTGTACATGGCAGGTCAGACTTCTCGAAAGCTTTGTGATGGTCATACCAATATAAGCAGACCGAAGGTGACCTCCGTTATACCACACTTGCTTTTTGGAGTGTGTTGTATTGGTTATTGGGTCTGCTCTTAAGTATTAAATCAGCAGTCCCTTTTGTTATGTAGTAAATAATGAATTCCAATCTTTGGTCTGGCGCTGTCGGTTTCACTCCATTTGAAATTATATTTTTAATTATTCTTTTCAGTTTTGTATTGTGAGCTCACAGTGGATTTGTAATAGAGTTTTATGTGAGGGATTGTTTGTTCTTGCAGTTGTTGTTGTGTTATACCATACGCCAGTAATGTGGGCATAGTTAACCAAAAGAGCGTTGCGTGAGAGTGTGGTGAGAGAGTGCGGTGTGAGTGTGGATCGCCAGGGAGGGAGGGAGGGAGGTAGGAGAGTGCCTGGGCAGGTGCCAGCACGGGGTGCCACACGCCCCACTTGGTCACCCGGGGTGCCTGTCGCCAGTATCACCACAACTCTCCCCACCATCTGTTCTACCAACACCCACCCGCGGCGCCCCTGAGGCTAAGTCCTCCTCCAGGTCCACCAGCGTACTCCAGGATACCAGTGAGCAGAGCCACTGTTAACAGTCGGCTGGCCACGCACCACTGAGGATAGAACCAGTGTACAAGCGTTCGACACGATGGTGATGGAGGTGTCTTCAGTCGACTTTGAGGTCTTCGGCAAAGTCCAGGGTAAGTAATTACTCAAGTTCCGCCCCCTATATGACTCTCAACCATACACGTCAACCACAGCCCCCCATACGTCAACCACAGCCCCCTATACGTCAACCACAGCCCCCATACGTCAACCACAGCCCCCCATACGTCAACCACAGCTCCCATACGTCAACCACATCCCCTCATACGTCAACCACAGCCCCCATACGTCAACCACAGCCCCCCATACGTCAACCACAGCCACCATACGTCAACCACAGCCACCATACGTCAACCACAGTCACCATACTTCAACCACAGTCACCATACTTCAACCACAGCCCCCATACGTCAACCACAGCTCCCATACGTCAACCACATCCCCCCATACGTCAACCACAGCCCCCCCCATACGTCAACCACAGCCCCCCATACGTCAACCACAGCCCCCATACGTCAACCACAGCCCCTCATACGTCAACCACAGCCCCCATACGTCAACCACAGCCCCCCATACGTCAACCACAGCCACCATACGTCAACCACAGCCACCATACGTCAACCACAGTCACCATACTTCAACCACAGTCACCATACTTCAACCACAGCCACCATACTTCAACCACAGCCACCATACATCAACCACAGCCCCTCATACTTCAACCACAGCCCCCCATACTTCAACCACAGCCACCATACGTCAACCACAGCCCCCATACTTCAATCACAGCCACCATACGTCAACCACAGCCACCATACGTCAACCACAGCCACCATACGTCAACCAAAGCCCCACATACGTCAACCTCAGCCACCATACGTCAACCACAGCCACCATACGTCAACCACAGCCACCATACGTCAACCACAGCCACCATACGTCAACCACAGCCACCATACGTCAACCACAGCCACCATACGTCAACCACAGCCACCATACTTCAACCACAGCCCCCATACGTCAACCACAGCCCCCCATACGTCAACCACAGCCCCCATACGTCAACCACAGCCACCATACGTCAACCACAGCCCCCCATACTTCAACCACAGTCCCCCATACGTCAGCCACAGCCCCCATACGTCAACTACAGCCAGCATACTTCAACCACAGCCACCATACGTCAACCACAGCCACCATACGTCAACCACAGCCACCATACTTCAACCACAGACCCCATATGTCAACCACAGACCCCATACGTCAACCACAGCCACTATACGTCAACTACAGCCACCATACTTCAACCACAGCCACCATACGTCAACCACAACTTCCATACGTCAACCACAGCCACCATACGTCAACCACAGACCCCATACGTCAACCACAGCCACCATACTTCAACCACAGCCCCCCATACGTCAACCACAGCCACCATACGTCAACCACAGCCACCATACTTCAACCACAGCCATCATACTTCAATCACAGCCACCATACGTCAACCACAGCCACCATACTTCAACCACAGCCCCCATACGTCAACCACAGCCCCCATACGTCAACCACAGCCACCATACTTCAACCACAGCCACCATACGTCAACCACAACCACCATACGTCAACCACAGCCACCATACTTCAACCACTGCCACCATACGTCAACCAGAGCCACCATACGTCAACCACAGACCCCATACGTCAACCACAGCCACCATACGTCAACCACAGCCACCATACTTCAACCACAGCCATCATACTTCAACCACAGCCACCATACGTCAACCACAGCCACCATACGTCAACCACAGCCACCATACTTCAACCACAGCCATCATACTTCAATCACAGCCACCATACGTCAACCACAGCCACCATACATCAACCACAGCCCCCCATATGTCAACCACAGCCACCATACGTCAACCACAGCCACCATACGTCAACCACAGCCCCCATACGTCAACCACAGCCACCATACTTCAACCACAGCCACCATACCTCAACCACAGCCACCATACGTCAACCACAGCCACCATACGTCAACCACAGCCACCATACGTCAACCACAGACCCCATACGTCAACCACAGCCACCATACTACAACCACAGCCATCATACTTCAACCACAGCCACCATACGTCAACCACGGCCACCATACTTCAACCACAGCCCCCATACGTCAACCACAGCCCCCATACGTCAACCACAGCCACCATACTTCAACCACAGCCCCCCATACGTCAACCACACCCCCCATACGTCAACCACAGCCCCCCATACGTCAACCACAGCCACCATACTTCAACCACAGCCCCCCATACGTCAACCACAGCCCCCCATACGTCAACCACAGCCCCCCCATACGTCAACCACAGCCCCCCATACGTCAACCACAGCCACCATACGTCAACCACAGCCCCTGAACTATATGTTTAACACTTCTCTAACCCTGTCCATGGAGGACAGAAGAAAATGTATATATGCTGGTTAGCATTGTAAATGTGTGGCCACGTCTGTGGTATAGAAAATAAAAAAGGTACCTGGGAGTTAGACAGCTGTTACGGGCTACTTCGTGGGGGTGTGTGAGAGAGAGAAAAAAATATTGATTGACAGTTGAGAGGCGGGCCGAAAGAGCCAGAGCTCAACCCCCGCAAGCATAACTAGCCAGCACACTGCTAGTACACTGTCAGGCAGGCAGAGCCATGCTGGCAGTCACGCAGGCAGAGTCATGCTGGCAGAGCCATCTATGGAGCGTCCAGCACATCTAGATGTTACTACTTCTTGGTTTAGGCTCCGCTCCAAGGACCTTTTCAAATTTATGTGCCCCACTTGCTCGTGTATACATCTGACCGAGTGAATACTTTTCCGTCTGTTGTTGCTCTCAATGCCTATCAACCTTTCCATACTTCTTAAGGTCACCACAAGTGCTTACTGACCAAACTTACGGATCATATTGACCAGACCATAAGGGTTAGCAGACCCGGCCCGTGACCTAGTGGTAAGACACTCGCCTGGCGTTTCGCGAGCGCTTTGCCCTGGGTTCGTATCCTGGCCGGGGAGTATTTACTAGGTGCAAATCCTTAACCGCAGCCTCTGTTTACCCAGCACTAAACCCCCCCATACTGTCCATGTATTGTATTATCCAGGTACTCCAAGACAGACTATTATAGACAGTAGCGACGGTGTATAAGTTGCACTGTCTCAAAGTATCTTGATCATCTCACGGCAATGTTTCGTAAAGTTGGATACTGTAATATAATTAGATTACTACCCTTGCAGGGGAGACCTGCTGCTTGGGTAACAGCTTCTCCTCAATATCGACCTACCCTGGCCTCGGTAGTGGTGATGAAGAGAGGCAGCATCATGCGGTCCACTACAGCCGCGGTAGTGGAGTGGCCCTGTATGCACCTACTTGTATTCACCTAGTTGAGCTTCGGCTCTTTGGCCCCGGCTCTCAACCGTTGATCAGGTTCCTGAGCCTATTGGGTTCTATCATACCTAAATAGAAATTATGAATGGAGTCCTGCCATTCCACCACACCGCTGCTTAATTCCTTCCGTCTGTTAACTAACCTGACACTGAAAACATTTTGTCTAATGTCTCTGTGGCTCATTACAGCACTAAATTAAGTTTCCACTTGTGTTCCCGTGTTCGTGTTCCACCGTGCTAAATAGCTTATTCCCAGGATTGGTCTGACGTACGTGGTATACAAGCGTTTGTAAGATTCCTTACACAAGTTTCTAAAAGTAGTTCTTATGTTGGCCAACCTGGCATATGCCAAGCCAGCCCATCCTCCTATTTAGATAGTACTTATAGTACTGGCGTTTCCCCTTTCCATTGGAGAGTTTCGGCGTCGTGGAGAAGGGAGGACCTGCTGCATGGGTAACAGCTTATTCCGCGTATCAACCTACTCTGGCTTTGCGCCCTGGAGAGGCCATTCCAGACCGACAGCCAGAGCACAACTCTATAGTCAACTGAGACTCATAGATGCCTTCTATAGTAACCATGTGTACATATAATGACATAATGGACAATTAGAAAGTAGAATTTGGCACTATTGAATTTGGACAAACCGGAAAAGGTTTAAATTAAACCTAACCTAACCTAACCATCCTAGGCCTAATACATGCTCCCTGAGGCCTAATGTATTACATGTTTGTACTATACTAGGCCTAGGAATATTTAAGTTGGGTTTTAGCTTTATTTTCCCCACTTTGTAAAGTGAATAGTACTAAATTGTACTATCTAATTGTTCATTACGTCACAATATGTACAATGGTACACATAGTTACAGAAAGTACACTCTAAAAAGGAGGATGGGTTGGCCAGGCTGTAGGTGGTGTCCAAACACAATACCGAAGCTGGTATGTGGTGGTAACCAGGTACCCGAGGCTTACAGCCAGTCGCTGCTGGTACAATGAAGCGGTATGTGGTGGTAACCAGGTACCCGAGGCTTACAGCCAGTCTCTGCTGGTACAAAGTACACATTGTCAGAGGTGCTGGGTATTTTTACCTGTGTCTGGTGGTGTTCAGGCGCCTGCGGCTCTGGCCATGTTGCTGGTGGTGGTGGTGCAGCTGGTAGTGGTTCAGGTGGTGGTGGTGGTGGTGGTGCAGGTGGTAGTGGTTCAGGTGGTGGTGGTGGAGGTGGTGGTTCAGGTGAAGGAGTTCATCTAACAGTAACTACCATTACGTCAGGTCTAGCTCTCCAGCTTCGTTGCCTTGTTATACCTCTTGTTATATAATTATACTTTCCTAACAATTAAATTCTTTATCGAATCGCGCCATAAAGTTGTGGCTGGAGGAGGCTTCCACAACCTCTTACTTCTGACCATTACGCTTCTTGACCATCAATACAGGACACGAGTGTTTCCTCATAGTTCTTCAAATCATTTATTTGAAGAACTATAAGGACAGTATAAGAACTTTCGACTCCAGCTTTCTTCCAAGTCTTTTTGTCCTACTTGGCAACAGTTTAAAGAGGCTGTTCTTGTTCACCTTGTGAATTACCCTCAGTATCCTGTATGTCCTGATCATATACCCTGTTTCCTGTCTCCTTCAAGACTGTGCAATGTAGCTCCCTTAACTTGTT